TTTTGCATAAATGCCTTGGATGTGCAAACATGTTACCATTCTAACTGGCCAGGGCAGGAAAGCCTGAAGTTCCTATTTGACTTACGTCAATTGGCTGTACCCAAAAGACCAGTTCACCCTCCTGTGTGCATAAATAGTATTAAATGTGAACGCAACTGAGAGCACCATCTCTTGTATGTGAGTGCATTTATGCTTATCTTTGCAGCATCTCTGAGGTGAATTTCCCTGCAGCTGAACTGCTTTGTTGTAAGCAATAACTTGCTGAGTGCTGCCATCTAATGAGTTCCCCTTTGACTGATTTGAGACTCATATGTTCCAGTTGCTCAGAAATGCTGTACGGAATAAATGTTGTTTTAATATTCTGAAATGTCATATAACAAACAAGTTTATGGTTCTGGTTTGTGCTTGACATGGTGAGTTATATGTTTGGTCTGACTTTAAACTGCAATAAAATTTGGGAAGCTGGCCCTTCTTGGATTAATAGTTTGAAGGCGTTCGCTGTTCCATAATGCTTGCACCTTTATTTATTTCTTCCCTCCAAAATGGAAAACAATTATCTCAAGTGATTTAATATTTTATATAGAAAAAACAACTTGGAGAAAGAAGTTGAGAGATTCACAATTGCTAGCCCTGGGACCACACTTAGCCTCTTTGGACTGACCTATCCAAGAATGTAATATTTTTGTTGGCTGTCTCTATAGATGTTTCTTTACCATCCTGTCTGGTGTTCATGGGAGGAGAACCAAATATCACTGCACAATCACTTCCTCAAGGGAAGTCTCCTAAAACAATTCTTGATGGGGAAGAAAGACCCAAATGTTTCAAATGCCAACCATATAGATAGTAGTTGTTCCTGCAAACCTAGCAGTTCGAAAACATGCAAGTGTGAGTAGATAAATAGGTACCACTTTGATGGGAAGATAACAACTTTCCATGTGCCTCAACATATAGTTATGACGGCCACATGACCACAAAGTGTTTTCGGGCAACGCTGGTTCCCTCAGTTAAGAAAAGAAGATGAGTATAACCCCATAGAGTTGGACATGACTAGACAGGGGAAACCTTTACTTTTACAGATAGTAGTTAACTTCAGATAGTAGTTAACTTCTGAACACTGTCCAAGAATAAACAACTCAGACTTCTAATTCTTCCCATTTTCAATTATTTATTGTCTGGTATCTCTTTAAAAAGTGAATCAGTGTTTGTGTTTCATATAGAAGTTGAAATTCTGACAGCTCTTCACTGTGTTCTTTCATTTTTCTTTTTTAATCAAAAGCTGTATTTTATTGGAAAAACCTCTTTCCCCTTCAAAACTTTCACTTCACCCACACCAATTTAATGTTTTCCTGGAACCAAATTAGCAATTAAAGAATAGCCCAGGCTCAGAGAACAGTTGGCTCCATAATATAGTTCCATCTCTGAAAGTATACAGGTCTGGACTTGCTTAGGACCTGGGTGGAATAATGTCTTGTGGAAGAGTGGGTAATATGAGGAATAATTTAAAATCACAAAAATTCATATACATATCCTTCAAATTCAAATATTTCCTGTTTGATAAGGCTAGTATTTTTGCTGGAAGTTTAAGTAGGGTTTTGAGAAGGTGGTATCTCCAAAGTGACCTTCATGAAAGATGCTATCTTACTGCCGAGTTGGTATTAAGAGGAGAGGAGAAATAAATATACACTCTCCCTGTAACTGATCTATGGTCTATGTGCAGCCACTTGATATTGACCTTCAACTACACTTCTTCTGGCTAATATCGTAACTCAAATGATGGAATTGGCTACTGTATTTTAGACGACTTTTTTTTTTTTAAAAAAAAGGTTCACTTGTAAAGGAGAAGATTGTCAGTGGCTGCTAGTTATAAAAGCTGTGGAGTATTGCTGTTATCTGAAGCAGTATGCCACTGAACATCAGCTGTCTGAGAAGTAAAAGTGTTTGGAAAACCACTTTTCAGCAAAATGATGATGTTGCTGTGGGGAAAAGTATGATGACTAAGTGCAGTTTGTGCACCGTCTTGAGCGCCTGCATGAAAAGCAAGACATAAATTAATAAATGACTAGTGACATTAAGTCTGCCTCATTAAGATATTTTAATAAATTAATCCCAGTATCTTGAGATGTTTATGTTCACTCCCATGTTCCTAGATCCTGATGAATAACTCTGTAAACACTTGACCATTTTAATGTTGCAATTAATTTATTAAATTGTATTTTATATTAGTGACATAGACACAAACACACATGTTTTAATATCTCTATCTCCCACTTTTTTTAATGATGCTGATTGATAGGAGCCTCAACGAATTTCAAGTTTAGATCCATCATTTTTAGGACACTAGGTTTTTGAAAACTCAGATAGAAGCTCTTGATTCTGTTCTGGGGATATAGCATTGAAGAACAGTAGAGGAGTTGGAAACAACTTCCTGCCAGAATGAATTTAGACCGGGAGGGCACTGAAACTTTGTTTTGGAACAGTCTTTCTCAAATTTTGCAATTTCATGATGTGTGGACATGCTGCTAGGGAATTCTGGGAATTGAAATCCACACATCTTCAAGATGCTGAGGTTTAGAGAGAACAGAACTAAAATGAATTTCTCCATCTCATGGAAATACAGTAGTTCAGGAATTACAGGCAAAATGGCCAGTGATTCTGTAGGTTAAAGATATGGGGAGTTCTGGAAGGCATCATGTTAGGAAAATCTTCCATAGAGGGAAGGTCGAGACTGAGAAGGTGCTACATTACAAAAAATGTTGTTTTTGAACTTGAGAGTAAAGTGACAGAAAAAGAGAACACTCTAAAATACCAACACATGGGAAATTTAAAATGAATAAACAGCCATCTTATGGAATAAGCATATAAACATTCTTTATATCTTCAGTTCTAGTCCAAAATCTTCAAGAGTTGGAAACAATTTGCATTAATTCTTTACATGTCTGCTTTTTCTGCTCAGCAAGATTGACAGAAGCATTTTGACTTGGCAGTTCTTCATTTTCTTTTCTTTTTTCTTGTTGGAACTTGCTGCAGCTCATTTTTTTGGATACCTTCCAAGAACTGACATATTGTTCAACTGCCTTGGAGCATGTATTTATATTGTTGAGATGTCAGATTCATTTTTGTGCCCACCTGGTATAAAATACTCTAATCTTACAGCAGTCTTACAAACAAACGGTTGCCTGTGGTTAGTGAAAATTGCTATCAAACAAGAAGAGTTTTCAAATATCTTGTTTCTGTTTTGTCATATTACTGACATAGCAATCTGTGGGCGGTAGATTTCGATGTGAAATAAATCTGACTTGTTTGGAAGGCTTTGGTTGGGAACCTTTTGGATTTTCGGGCTGTTTGCTGTTGCTTCCAGAATACTTTCATGTCAAAGAATGCTTTAAAACATAATAGCTTCATACCCAGTAGTGGGATTCAAATATGTGAACAACCAGTTCTCTGTGTGGATGCTGCTTCCGGAAGTCCATTCTGGGCCTGGGCAACAAAAAATTAGCTACCGGTTCTGCCGAACTGGTGCAAACTGGCTGAATTCCACCACTGTTCATACCTAAGTACACTGTCCAGTCATCAGAACTAAATAGCATTTGTTTCTGGGTTTATGGCAGGTAGTTGTAGTAACAGATATGCCTTATGTTAGGCACATCAGACTCCCTATCCTTAAACAAGAACTAGATAAGAAGACAGGATAAACCACCTTTCTGACCTGTGTTCATTCTGTTGGCAGAGGAGGTTTCGCTCTTCAGTGCTGCTCAGTTTGAATTGCCACCATCCCTCATCATTGATCATGCAAATTAGAGTTATAATAATGATAGTTAAGCAACATCTGGAGGATTACAGTTGACTCACTTCTTATAATATACATAGAACTTTTACAGACGCCTAATTTTGAGTGAAACAGGCTTGGAAGCCCAGTCTCTTTCAAACTTAAGCTCCCTTTTGGCCTTGAGAAGCATAGAATAAGGGAGCACATTGTAAACTGTGACCTGATCAGGACAAGGGAAAAGAAGTAAGATTTTAATTTAATTGAATACAGTTAATGTGATTATTCCTCATACTTTAAATAATTTCCCCTTTCTACCATATTAACAATCACAATTGGTGTAGAGATCTTATCCAAGTCTGGGGGAAACCTTTGATCAAGGGTCTCCAACCCCCAGTCCATGGACTGACACCGGTCTGCAGCATACCAGAAACTAATCCACGCAAACAAACAAAGCCCCATCCACGGTATACAGGCAGCACGCAAATAATATTATAGGGAAGGTTGGGAATGAAAGATTGAATAGAAAGCATGATTGATAAGACATTGAGGGATATTATTGTAATTGAAGATGGAGGTTAAGGAAGCAAGCCAAAGATTTTATGAAAGCAGTGAATATTAAGAAGGAATGCAAAAGATTGGACGGGTGTTATGTGTCGTGGAAATGAATGTTAACCATAGGTAGCACCAAGGGAAAGTTGGTAGAATTGTTTGAGAGTAGACAACCAGGAACCTGAGGCTACAGGCTAGAGATGATATTGATGATTGTAATGAGAAATAAACCGAAAGTGAACCCAGATCTGGAATTTGGGGTGGGTGGAGTACAAAGGAATGGCATGTTCAGAATTGCCTCGTACCGTGAGATGGGCGGCAAATAAATCTGATAATTGATAATAATGTTGATTCATTCTACTTCCTGATGCTTCTCTTGCAATAAGTTACCTCGGTGTCATCCATTCTATCCAGCATGCCATCTCTGCAATTGGGTTGGAACAATAGAAGTTGAGTTGGAAAGTGGCATTTATAGAATGCTTTTTTTTTTCAGTTTGTAGAAGAGTTTGTGGGACATCTTACACTGACCTCTTAGTCATGAGACAAGATATTAAAATATAGTCATAGGTTTCGTAAAAGTTTGGCAGTCAACTTCAGTTGATGCATTACCCCCTGGAAATCTTCATATTAAAGATGACACAAATAAAGTTATGCTAAAAACTGCATCTGTTACTTTCTTTTACAGGAAAAGAAAATCAGAGTGTCTCTCCCTTTAACAAGAGGACCAAGTGCCTTTGTACCAGAGAAGGAAGTAAGTTTTTTTTTTCTTTTTTCTTTCTTGTAAGAAATGAACATTAAGCAGCAAAGCAATGCAAAGAGATTATGGACCCATTGAACAATTTCCACCACGGCCATTTCAATTTCTGGAATGTCCCAACAGTTTAAAATCCCAAATTTTGAATCAAGCTATTGAGGCAGTGGCTTAGTCTGATGTATAGGAAATTCAAAAGCTTAATCTTTGGTAACAAAACTTAAAAAAAATCTATTTTTCCCCCTCTTGTGAATTAAAATAATTATTTTGAACCTGGATATTTATGTATTTGACTTTAAATGATTTGAATGATCTTGGTTGTTAAGAATGTATCAGCTAGAGTGAGTTGCATATTATGAATATTTATGCCATATTAAATTTTGCATTTTAATAATGGTCTAAGGTCCTTCAGCTTTTGAAAAAAACTGTCAAGAAGGAAGAATATTACGATAGATTTGAAAATAATATGAATCTGGTGCTGAGTAGTAATAGATCTTTATTTGTGCCTATAGTACCGGAATGTCCCCAAATTGTGCAGTATAAGGATATGGCACTGTTAAAATTAAGGGGTTTAGGGATGGGGGGGCTGTTAAGGAAGAATTATGATAAAACTGCAGCTAAATAGTCAGGATATGGGGAGATAATACACAGAGCAGTACTTTTTTGGTAATGGCTTAGCAATGGTAGAATGGTTGGTGAAAACTTGTTTGGCCATTTCACTAATGGATTTGAACAATTCTAACCACCTGTATAAGCCATAATATAATTGTTTACCTAGACCAGGGATAGGCAACCTTGGCTCTTTTATGACTCATGGACTTCAACTCCCAGAATTCCTGAGCCAGCTGTGCTGGCTCAGGAATTCTGGGAGTTGAAGTCTATGAGTCATAAAAGAGCCAAGGTTGCCTACCACTGACCTAGACAATCCTAAAAAAGAACCATAAGGTCTTTGTCTTCTGTTTTTCAAATCCTGTCTTATTTTATTTTGCTGTATCTGGACTTAGAATATTGCTTCATTTTTGTTCTTTGTTCTACCTACTTTTTCTGGTATTGGCCAAAGAACAAAAAGAACAGATTACTTAGGTTAGAACTGCTACCTCACGCTGCGCTCTGCAATCATTTCGGTTCCAGTCTGCCATGGAAGGGGAAAAACGAGGGGGAGCACTTGAGGGTAACGTGAAAGTTAAGAAAGTGCCTGAGACAGTATTTCAAGGTCACTCCACAATGAGAAGAATATAGCCTACAATCAGAGTGGTTGTTTCTAAAACATCTTCTTTGAAATTGATTGGACAGTGGGGGACCAGCAGTGGGAAGTATCTAAGCAGGAAAAAGTTTTCACTTGGAGTTTTGGCACATGAATTTCAGTTCTGGCTTTGCACTGCTGTAATTTCCTTGACTTCTAGTAAGCTATACCTTTCTCAACCAGAGGAGTTAAGGATCGTTTTTACTTAGAAAATCAAGCTGAGACAGGTCTGACATTAAGCCAGAATTGCAACCCACCCAGAGAAATAATCTACCGTGGGGGTTTTGCAAACCATCCCTTTCTCAACCCGATGGTGTTAAGGATCGTTTTTACTTAGAAGCCTAAGTTGAGGCAGGTCTGACAACTTATCTTCAAGACCGACACTAGCTTTGTTCAACAAATTTTACTTCGGCATTATGCTAAACCTCTTAGGATAAACTACTAGGTTTCCTCAGATGGCCTTCAGTTCACCTGAAATTCTATCATACTATGGCTGATATTCTATGTATGTTTTATTATTATTTTATTATTATTGTTATGGTGTAATCATTTTTTTTAAAAAAAAAAGTTCTCTCACTTATTCTTCTTTAAACTTCCACACATGCTTCTTCTTAAAGCATGTCTTGAAATAATTATTTATACCATATAAAACTGAATCAGATCAATGAAGTCTACCTTGCTTTTGAACCCTCTCTAAAGGTTATGCAAGCCAATAGTTTGAATGAACGTATGCATCTGCTTGTGGAAGAATATTCTACATCTGGTCGCCTAGACAACATCACTCAGGTCATGAGTTTACACATTCAGTACCTGGAGTCTTTTCTCCGCAGTCAATTTTATATGTTGCGCGTGGACGGTCCTCTTCCTTTGCCCTACCGGCACTACATAGCAATCATGGTAAGCTCTGAAAAAGTCTAATATCCCTTCTTGATTCATCTCCCATCATAATTACATTAGTATATTTTCCACTAGTGTTGTAAGTTGAAGCAAGTGTCACCTTCTTTTGAACTGAAAGGGGATAACACTGTCATCCACATCTAATTGATCTAGCAGCTGCACCCGAGACACACACACGCACACACACACAAACTGTATATATAGTCTAAAGTCATAGATGGAGTTTTCTTCATTCTTAACACATTACAAGCTTTGTTCACCCAAAAATGTGGTTGTTGTGAGCTATCTACGATTGTTGTGTGAGATATGTGGCCAATAGGTCATTTAAATAATACCATTAAAAATAAGGAATTCTGAATTCTGCACTTGGAATCAATTAAAACGATAATCTATAGCAGGGGTCCCCAACCCCTGGTCCATGGGCCAGCACCGGGCCGCAGCGTGCCATAAACCGGTCCACGCAAATCAGCAAAGCCCCATCCATGAGATACAGGCAGTACATGAAACCATACCCCTCCCCCGGTCTGCAGAAAAAGCTCTCTCCACGGAACTGGTCCCTGGTGCTCAAAAGGTTGGGGACCCCTGAATTATAGTTTTCAAAAACCAAATTTTGCAACAGCTAAACTACAACATTTTCAATGTTCATAAAGAATTTTTCCAGTAGTCACAAAACTTCTACTGCAGTACAGTGTATTGTTGTTCTCATAGTGGTGTTGGAAGGGTTACTGTATGGCTGAATAATAGCAGTTTTCTTAAGGCCACAATGAATTCCTGGGAAAGGCAAAAATTAAGCAAATGGCTTCTACCCTTACAGTTCTCCGTCATAACTGCTGCAGCAGAGTTCACTTGCTTTGTATAGGACATTCATACAATGGGTACACATAGATTTAGCCGTTTTAGGCTTGGCTACTCTCCCATTCTGTGTCCACAATATACAGGTAGTCCTTGACTTGCGACCAAATTTGAGCCCCAAATTTCTATTGCTAAGTGAGACATTTGTTGAGTGAATTTCGCCCCATTTTAGGACATTTCTTGCCCCAGTTGTTAAGTGAATCACTGCAGTTAAGTTAGTAATATGGTTGTTAAGTGAATCTGGTTTCCCCATTGACTTTGTGTGTCAGAAGGTTGCACAAAGGGGATCTCGTGACCCTGGGATGCTGCAATTGTCATCAATATGAACCAGCTGCCAAGCATCCAAATTTTGATTACGTGACACATGCTGCGCACACTTTCATAAGTGTGAAAAATGGTCATGAATCACTTGGTTTTTTTTAGTGCTGTTGTAACTTTGAACAGTCACTAGACAAACGGTTGTAAGTCGAGGACTACCTGAATATATTTCACACCTCTTCTTTTCTGTTAAAACAATTGCAGTGAAGTTTCTTGTAAGCTTTTCTGTAGAAACACTTGAATGCAAGGTTTTCTCTTCCTTATTGTAAAGCTATTTTTTCCTCTTACATCTGCCTACCCGTTTTCCAGTCTCTTATCATAAGCTCATCTGCTTCTTCGGGTTTTATCTTTAGGCTGCTGCCAGGCACCAGTGTTCCTATCTAATAAATATACATGTGGAAGAGTTCCTGAAGACTGGAGGGATACCAGGATGGCTGAATGGCTTAGAATACATTCCTCAAAGGCTGAAAAATCTGAACGAAATCAACAAACTGCTTGCACACCGACCTTGGCTGGTTTCCAAAGAGCACATTCAGGTATATGCTTATATATATTAGAGTTGGCTAGAGAGGCAAGCCAGATGTTCAAGCATTTGCATGTGCCAAAATTTTACAGCATTTGCTAGGATTTGATGGTCTCCTTACAACTTTCTTTGAGCTCTGTGTCAATTTTCTGCAAATCAGACATCACCAAGTCGAGGAATAGAAAAGCAGCCAGAAAGAACATTTATAAATGTGCCTTCTCTCCTGTCGATACCGCCTCCTAAAGCTGTTTTTCCTGTTTGGTTGAGGGGTTTGGGGGCTTTTTCATTAAAAGATCTGTCAGGCCGTTGGGAAGTGTGTTTGTTTACTTCTTTTCAAAGGAGAAAGAGATTTGCAGGCCCCGTTTGTCATACAGGTGAGCAAAACTGCACCTACTGAAACTCCTCTTTGCATATCTAAGTCATGTTGTAATGCCTGGGAAGCAATAAGTTTCCCCTTCTAGAGGGAGTGAGACAGAGCTAAACAGAAAAGTTTTTTTTTTATGCTTTTGGCTCTTTTTTTTTTTTTTTAGAAAAGAACTGGTTCATGTTTACAGTTTGGCACAGAGCAAATATGGCTTGCCTTCCTGACATTCCACTTGAAATTTAATACGATTAAACTGTAAAATACCTTAAAGCAGGCGTGCACAAGGTTAAGACCACCTTCGCCTTTTCAATAGCACACCAGAGGCAAGATTCCAGTAATTGGCAAGGCTAGAATATAGTCAACTTTGATTTACGTTAATTTCCTTTTTAAAAATAACCTCTCTAAATGAGTTAAATATAATTAATATGATTACTGGCTTTTTATTTACGATGCTTCCCTTTCATATTAAAAAAGATATCTTTCAGCTTTGGAAGGACTCTGGCTTTGTGGATGAAATGTAACTGAGGAACCTTTATCTATAAATAGGAAACATGGCCAACATGCAGTGTTTGTGATTCGTAATCCTCATTTTTATTCAAAATTTGGCAAACGAGAGTCCCTGAGCCTTTTCATTTAAAAAAGAATCTGCCCGAGATATCAAACCATCTAATTATAATCCTGGTTAAACAGTAAAGGGCCTTGTCTTTCCATTTTGATTTATATTTTATAGCAGAAAGGTTGGGAAAAATGCAGTACCTCTAAATTACGCTGTAACAATTCAAGGAAATTAGGCTAGAAAGCTTTTTGGCATGCTTTGGTTTTGCTGCTTCCACCTCAGAAATTAAAACTAAACCGAGGACTCTGCCTGTTTCTTGTGCCCATATATAAAACGAAAATTCACATGTGTAGTGTTTCTTCTTCTTGTTTTGTTTCAGAAACTTGTGAAGACAGGGGAGAACAATTGGTCTTTTCCTGAACTAGTGCATGCCGTGGTCCTTTTGGCACATTATCACTCCCTGGCAAGTTTTGTTTTTGGCAGTGGCATCAATCCAGAGAGAGATTTTGGGACCTCAAACGGCTACCGACTCATATCAGTTAACAACTTCTGTGTCTGTGACCTTGCCAATGACAACAACATTGAAAACGCATCCCTCAAAAGTAACAGCTTTGGGGTTAGTTGTTCTTTTCTTGTCCCTCCTCTCACTTTTGTTGATGTTATAAAAGCTGGCTTGGAAAGGGAGATCATTTCGGCTTGCGGTTTTCTAGGGAGTCTATCAATGCTCGGAATGTGGGAACCAAAACGCAAATCCCAACAGAACTAGGATCAAATGTTGAGTGGAGAACAGGGATGTTAGTTGTAGCAGGGCCAGTTCTCAGTGGAGAAAACACTGCTGGGGTTCAGGGGCAGGCAGTTGGTAAAGATCCTGAAAAAATGACCCATAGGAAGTGCCAGGAAATGGAGGGGACAACATTTCCCAACAATATTTCTTTTAAATTGCTGGGCAATAGTGATTTCCTTTTTATACAGAAAATATAATTGAATCCCAAACTGGAAAGAAAAATAATTTTTTTCCTAAACTTCAGAAAATTTTATTAATGCAGATAAATATATAAACTGCAAAACAGGGGGGGAGAAGAAATAGAAAGTGCAGAAAGGAAAAAAAGAAGACAAGGAGAAAAGAAAAAAGAAAAATATAGTAAAGAAAAAAATTTCTTTTCACAACAAGTATAAACAATTTTAGTAATTTATCGTCATCTCTTAAAATACAACAAATAATGTCTTTATTTATAGCTCATCCCTTATCTATAAACAAATTCTTACACTCCTCATTTAATCCTGATCAGCAGAAGTCTATTAACGGGTTACCAGAAATAACAACATATCTGTTTTAAGCTTGATTTTAAAAACCATTTTAAATTCATTCCTTTTATTTGTAACAATCTTGATCTTTAATTCTTTCAAAGTATAATTCTAGAACTTTTCATTTTTTTCTTTGGCCCTTCTCACAAAATCTTTCAGAACTTTAAAAAGTCTCCTTTGTAAGTTCAATATAAGAGAGTTATTGCTCTTTTGCTCTTACCACTTATGCATCCCCTATAATTATTAAGATATTGGCTGGTTTCATTTGTAAATCCAGTCTAGCATCTTTTTTCATATCATTCTTGTAGCTTATCATTTTTAAATCCACTTTCAGATTTGTGTCAGTCTTATCCAGTAAAACTTGTTCTTCTTTCATAACATCTTTTAAACACAGTCTATTTACAGAGGCAGACATTCTTAAAATTAACCTCTGGGTTCATTGTTCAAACATATCCTCCAAAACATCCAGTGTTCAAATATTTTGTTCCATTCTGTGGTAACAAATTTAAGTGTTCTTCTCTTATAATTGTAATCTTTAGTTTCTTTTGGTTCCCTCTAGTGTCCAAGATTCAATTTGCCAGCTTATCATTTCTTTTAAGACAGCTTTTTCTAAAAAGAAGGATTGAAACGATAATTTGAAAAAAAAAAATATTTCAAATCATCTGGACCTTTTGTCCATTTATTACAACTTTCTGAAATCAATATTCTAATCACCTTAAACTTATTTTGAAACTTCTTTCAATAAGGATTAACGTAGACTCACCTTGCTCATGATATCAAATTTGTTGTTCAGAAGGTTCTTAATAGTTGAATAACAACTAAGGAGCAATTTCAAAAAGTGATTAAGAAATACATTTCCACAGAACTTTGTGTCCATAAGGCTATATTGTGGCTGTGAACTTGGTGGAAATCCCTCGACTCCCAGCCATTCCAATCATGAGCTGTCTACTCATTAGGAGGTGCTGTCTGGAGTGCAAGTGGATGATCCCATAATCTCTCCTTTATCAAGAGAAGCTTGGTTAGCCAGAAAAACCCCATCTGGTCACCAATCTGTTCTGGCTGTTTTAATTTGAATTTTTGCATGAAACAGGAATTTGAATTCAATAACCTAAATGGTATTTTCAGCTCTATGGTGTATGTTAACTATTTTCTTAATAATTGTCTACGATGGCTAGGGAAGAATACAATTGCTTCCTCTCCAATTTGATGAAAATTTATTCATAAACTTCCTTGGAATATAATGTTTGAGCCAGCTGGGTGTTGTCATTTATGAAAAATAATACATAAAGTTTCAGATGGCTCCACAGCTAGATCTTTTGGTTTTTCTGTACAATATACATGGTTTGAAGATTTCACTCATTCAAAATACATAGGCATACCCTGAGAACATTTCTCTTTTGACCCTGACCTTTTGTTGTTCATCATTTTTATTGACTAGATAACGTCTTGGATATCCAGTTTGAAGAGGATTGCTTTTTTGTCAGCTATTAGCATTTTGCTGTTGCATTTAAATATATATTTTTGTGTGTCTTCACTCCTTTTAGTTCTCAGATATTTGCTAAGATTTTTCAGTTGACTTCTGTTCCCATCTTCTACTTTTTTCTTATTGGGATTTTTTGCATTTGGGCTTTTGATGTCTCCTTTTTTAGAAATTCCTAGTGATTTTAAATTCCTTTTCCCATGGTTTCTCCTGTCATGAATTTGTTTTGTTAAAATTTACATTTTGAAGTCCAAGATACCTATCTGGCCATACTGAGCTTTAACTGCCGGTGTTCTTTTTTTTATTGTTCACTGAGCATTTTAATAAGCCTTATTACTTCAGCATTCTTACCTGTTTCTACATAACTTATATTTTTATCTGAGGTTCTCACTTATGAAATTTTACTTCCAGCTCCCACAGGATTCAATTGAAAGCCCTTCTGATCAAGCTTATCATTCTTTGGGCAGATACATTTTCAGCAGCATATGGTACAACCTCTTCTATGCCTGCAGACCATAATATAGATAACCCAAACCATGATCTCCAAAAACAGATCTCTTTGTTAACTATACAGTTGTTGGTCTACCATTCACTTGCATTATTCTGTCTTTTTCCAACTTAAGTCCATGTTCATGAAATTAGAACTGCTCTAGGCAGAATCATCTATATTCACATGAATTAACACCAAGAATAATTGTCAGACTTGATATATATTCTGCCAATTGTAAAGAGCAGGATGACTAGGCAGGATTAAATTTGGAAACTAGTAAACCTTGATGTCATAATTCTCAACCATCCTCCTGGCAGAAAGCACATTTCATAAGCCCACAGGTCTGGCTAGTCCATGATTTGTTTTTGGTTCCTCATGGTAATTAGCCTATACTTTGATTCTTCTCTTTGCCTTCTCCAGAGCATAGTTGAATTCCTTTGTTCTTCATGAATCCATTCTCTTATGTACCGATCAACAATGTCTTTTTTTTTCTTCCCCAAATGCTGAAGGGCTCTTTATTCTGCAGAAGGCTCCAAGCTGAGTTCCGGCAGTGCAGAATATCTTCTGTAGCTTCTTATTATGACCAGTCACACATTCAGCCAGAGGTTTAGACTGGATTTGGTATTTTTATCCACTTATCAAGTTCTTCCCAAGGACCTGGGATAGGCAGATGTTGCTGTTTTATGGTGTTAAAAGTATCATCACAAGGTATAGGCCAGGGGTGTCAAACTGCCGGCCCGTGGGCCGGACATGTCATCCAGAAGCCACGCCCACCCCATTGCCGGCAATGGCAAAACCGTCCCGATACGTTGTGCGACGTCACGTGACATCGCAAGTTTGACACGTCTGGTGTAGGCTGTTTCAAGTAAAGCTATTTTTAGCTGGTGGCTGATGCATGAATGAAATGAAATGAATTCTCAATGCCAATGTTGTTCAAGTGGTGTTCCAAATGTTTTGAAATTGCACCAAAGGCTGGTTGCCTATTCCTAGCGGTACTATCTTTGCTTTCTTTTGCCACAGTCGTTCTACTTCTATATGAAGGTCTTTATATTTGTGATTTTCTCCAGTACTTCTATTCTATTGTCTTCAGATGCTGCCACATCCACAGTCCAGAATTCTTTGTCTTTCTTATCAACAGTTGTTACGTTTGTTGTTACACGGCAGAGGTTTGTACTTGTCTGTTTAAATTCTCAAAGCCTAGAGCACTTTAGCTTCTTCATTTTTGCCTATTTTGTAGTCCCACCAGTTATCATACTCTCATTAACTGGGTTTGCTTCTTTGTTTGCTTCTCCTCCTTATGGAGAGATGTTTTCTCTGTCAGCTGTGGTTATAGTGTCTCTGTTGTTGTGATTACTGAATCTTCCCCACTTTTGAACTGGTTTGGCTACTTGCATTTGTCATCTTCATTTTTCTAAGCACTGCTGCACATTTGCACCTGCTACACAGAAATGCCAGGCTGTTGTAGACATGAAAATCAGAATGCTGCAAGTATTGCAAATTGTGACTGAAGATTCAGGGTCACTTGCTTTCATTTTTGTTTTTTAAGGCAATGCCAGTAAAAAGCTTTCATCTAAAATATAGTAAATGTGTCATTCCCTTACCTACTTCTTCCACTTCCATATCAAGCCCCTATCATGTTTTGCATAATTGTGACATAGGGGGTATTTGTAGTTGAGAGAATTGCAGACAGGTTCCAATAGTAGTAGTAGTAGTAGTAGTAGTAGTAGTAGTAGTAGTAGTAATAATAATAGTAGTAGTAGTAAAGTTTTAATGTTTTTTTCTATAATTGTATTTAAAGGTTTTGGGAAAAAAAGATTAAAAACTAATACAGGCCATCTCGTTGAATTCAATTGATGTTGTTCCCTCACTTTTTCATGCAATCCACATTCATTCAGCATCCGTTGATGTTGTTTCAGCTTCTCATATGACACACACTTCCTCAATATCCTGTTTTCACTACATCCAACTTGGTTTTATGTTTCTTCTGACATATTCAGCTGTTGATTCTTGTAATAGGCAGAAGCATGGTTTCATTCGCGGCAACCACAGGTAGCAGGAAAGGATGGATTGTTGTTATTATTGTTGTTTTGACATAATTTAGCCAGGAATAGAACAGGGCTATCCCTCTTCCCTCCCTCCAAAAATTTTCAGTATAAAATATAAAAAGTAGAATGGTGCTATAGAATAGAATAGAGCAGACATGTCAAACTTGCGACATCACATGACGCCGCATGACATATCGCGATTTTTCCCCATTGCCGGCAATGGGGTGGGTGCGGTTTCGGAGTGACGCATCCAGCCCGTGGCCCGGCAGTTTGACATGCCCGGAATAGAGTATAGAATAGGGATGAGCTCCCATCACATGCTCCAGCTCCTGTTGTGACCAAGCAGTTTGAAAGCAGGCAACCGCGAGTAGATAAATGGATACACTTCAGTGGGCAAGTTAATGGGAACATGAAAGGTGCCCCCAATTGGGCATCCCCTGGGCAACAGTGGTGTTACTGTTGAAACCTTTCCACCCCACTTCACTGCTCTACTTGAGGTACAAGTAGAATAGTGAGCAAAAATTAATTTCACCTCAACAGAGTATCGATAACTGGTCACATTCTTCCTACTTGTGGTCTGTTCTTAGCTCTCCAATTCATTAAGCGAGCTGGAAGCCTTGATGGACAGAATGAAGAGATTGCAGGAGGACGACGAGGCTTCCCCAGAAGAAATGGATACACGCTTTGAGAAAGAAAAATCAGAGAGCCTACTAGTTGTTACTGAAGGTATTGCCCTCTGTGTGCTCCAGTGGAGCTCCTTTCATAATTCAGATCAGTCCCCTGAATTAAATAAAAGCCAGTAAACTACAAAAGTAGTTCTCACGTGCTGGAGGTTGTTCTGAGCCAGTTTATACATGCAGGGAAATCTGCTTTCTTCAGACTCAGTCACTTCTAAGTGGGACACTTTTTCCATGTTCCTCTACCCTGGTAATAAATCTTTAATCATAAAAAGTCTGGAAGGCTTTAGCTCATCTGTCTCTGACATGCTAACTTTGCAAAAAGAAAATGAAAACGAAATTAAAAGGTGCATAAAGAGTTTTGGAATGTTCAAATACCTAATTCATCACTGGGAATATGAAGTGACATATTCAAAAAAAAAAAGCTGTGCCCCAGGTAGCTCAGTAAAATCTTGGGAGACTGTAGAGCAGAATTTCTCAACCTCAGCAACTTTGAGACGTCTGAACTTCCAATTCCCCAGCCAGCTATGCGGTAACATGGGGCACATGTAACACCTTTGCTCTGCAAACTGCATTGGGTGCCAGTTTGCTTCCAGCTCCAATTCAAGGGGTTGGTTATGATCTTTAAAGCCATACATGTCATGGGTCCAGGCTACCTAGGGAAGCATCTTCATCCCGTTGCATCAGCCAGTCCCACCCGGTCAGGGAGAGAAGGTATTTTGCGGAGTTTCAGCATTCTGACTGGTGGGGCCCAAGAAGAAAGCCTTCTTTGCCATCACCCCCTGCTCTGTAGATTATTATTCCTTTGGAGGTGAGGCAGGCCCTTACTATTCTGGCCTTCCAAAAAAGAATAAAACACGCGGCCTTGGGTGAGGAGCACAGAGGAGCAGGCAGCCGCGGGGCTGCTTAGCAGCCTGAAAGCACTTCCTTTGCCTTTTAATAAAATATAAGTGTTTTAATCAGCCTTGATTTTTTTTAAAAAAATCTAACTTTTATATTCTTTTTAATTTTTTAATATTTTTACTCTGCAAGGGAGATGAGCACTTCCGAAATGTGGTAAATAAATAAATTTACAGCAAAGCTAGAAATCCCCCCCCCCCCCGGTGAAATGGTACATGTTATGCTCTCAGCCCCCAGGCACTTGCTGAGTAGGGATCTTGGCCTGGCATTTTATTTGAATGTGAAACTCCAACAGAGTTCTGTGCCAGTTCTTCAGCCCTAGACATCCACCCAATGTTTAAACATCAACTCCCTTAATCTCTTAACAAGCATGTTGAGTGTTGAGAATTCTGGGGAATAACATTTACATATGTAGAAGGTGTGTCAGATGGAGAAGGCTGGATTGGTGGGAAGAAGGAGAAAGAAAGTTGCCTCTAGAAGTTGGGGATGCTCCAACACTGGAGGTTTTTAAGAAGAGAACCATTTGTTTGAAATGGCATAGGATTTCCTACCTGAGCAGAGGGTTGGACTAGAAGACCTCCAAGATCTCTTCCAACTCTGTTATTTTGCTAAACCCAAAATCTAGGCTTTCAATTATTGTAGAATAAAAGTTACTGCGTTCTTCCTAGGATAGCACAGAAATCCCCATGAAAGAATTACATATGTTGGTATCTTTGTGATGCACAAATTATTACAGTGACTAGCACAACGGAAAAACTGAGCTGAACAGCTGGAAAAGAAGATTGAAAAAGGCTGCATTTCATACCCTTCTATTATTTTTAAAACTAATATTTTTGAAGCAAATTATCTCATGCAGTAAACATTTTCTTATGTCACTCAAAATGGAAAAGGCAGAGGATGCAGGCTGTAAAGATAAGGCAGGTAAAGACTTTTTTTACTGCTTAGTTTCTGCTTTTAATAATCTGTTCATATTTTTTTTTAAAAAAAATGCTGTCACAGACTTCCAGAAAGCCTGTTCCAAAAGTGATGGCAGGAATCGGTCACAAAACAAAGAGTAATTCAAGGCTTGACAACTTTGATTTCTTAAACTGCATTAAGAAACTATTTGGATGCTGGCCAATTAGGTTTCTTCCCACATAGTTATGTTTTAATTGGCTAATGAGCCAGAATAAAAATAAAGGTGTCCTTGTGATAGTTGGGTGGTGAACAGAAGGGTTTCTTTTTAATGGGGCTAGTAATAGACACAGAGCAGGTTCCCCACCCAATTTCATTAGGATGACTGGGAGTCAGCCCAGATGGGGAATCAAGATAATTTGCAAACAACTTCGCAGCAGCCAACCTTCAAAAAGGCTATTTCGTGAACTTAAATCCTTTGAACATTTAGTTGGCAGAGAGGAGCAAAGGGATGGAGGCTTTTTTGATAAGAGAAATACCCTGTCTTTAATTATTGGTGTTGATAGTCCTCTACTTATAACCCTTTCTTTAATTACTGTTTGAAGTTACAGCAGCACTGAAAAAGTGACTTACAACTGGTCCTTGCGCGTACAGCCATTTGCAACATTCTCATAGTCATGTGATCAAAATAAGGGGGCTTGGCAATTGGCATGTATTTACAAGAGTTGCACTGTCCAGAGGTCATGTGAGCATCATCTGTGACTTGCACCAGCGTCCACCAAGCAAACTCAATGGGCCAAGCTAGATTGGCTTACCAACCACATGACTTGCAGGCAAAAAAATTGGGCATGACTCAATGACCATATCACGTAGCAATGGAAGGTCTGGTCAGGTCCAAACTGTAGTTGTAAGTCAAGGACTACTTGTATTGCTGGATCTTTTCCATATTGCTCAGGAAATTGAGGAATTTGGCTTTTATCCAGATATCTTTTTTCATCAGCTTTACTCAAATGGCACTAAGGTAGAATCAGACTTGCTTGATCTTGTTTTTCTTCTCCTGAGCTATGGACAAATCTTTATTTGCCCTGTTGATCTAGTGGGGCTATGACCACACTAGCCCACGCTATGGCATTCATTAGATTGGCATTCTATTTCAAAACCAGGGGTATCTCTCTGGGCAAGATCCCTATAGTTTGCATGGACTTTTCCTTATTATCAGCTAAACACTAGTTAAAAATGTGCAATACTGCATTCTAATAGCCCCTGAAGATAGCTTTATATAGAGATCCTAAAACCTTGAATATCTCCAGTACTGACCCAGTGAATTGGAAATGATTCATGGAAGCTCAGCTGGCTGGTGTTCTGAACTGAATGGTCCACCCTCGTTCAGAAGCATTTCAGGAATAATTGGAGTTTAATACCTTGGTAAAAGATTTAGTTTACGAAAATATATATTTAAAATGAATCCCTCACTGTTACCTGCAAATTCTCTTTCAGGTTGTCTTTTTTTTTTTTTTTTTGCTAGGCATGGGACCACGGTTGCATTCTGAACTTCCCATTTTTTTAGTTTATTGAGGTCTCTTTTCAAATTTCCCAACTTTGTGCCACATGTCAAAACAATGAATGAACCAACTATGTTTTTGCCTGCAACTGAATTTCATAATGTTAGATGTAGCTCAGACAATAACAGTTCCCTTTCTAAATTCAGGAGTAAAATTAGGTTGGGAGAAGCCAATGGGGATCCTTTGGTATCACATAATTGTTTTGAGATGAATCTGATAAGGGGAAAAAAAGGTACATTTTACTATCTTTTCCTTTTCTTTAACAGCTTTTGATGACGAATTAGCTTCCACGGCTGATGTTTCCTGCTATGTTGAAGACCCTGGGTTTGGTTACAAAGATTTTGCAAGACGGGGGGAAGATCATCTTCCGACATTTCGAGCCCAGGTTAGTTACACGAATAACTTATTGATGGAGAACCAAAATAAGAAGCAGAGCTGTCTTTTGGAGTGAGCATCCTGGCTTTTGTTCAGAATGACTCTTTTTTTTCTGCTACACCTCTGAACACAGGAATAACGTTCTACCCAGCCCACAATTGAAAGCATGACCTGGTTGCTGCTTTCTGAGAGTCACACCAGGAATCTTCCAAGCCTTACCTAGCCTGGGATTGTCCCTTGTGACCTTTTGGCATGCAAAGCACATTCTCTGCCATTGCGTTATGATCTTTGCCCATGTTTAATACATTCTTAAAGAAGCATTATCGTTGGAGAAAAGATATCTCAAAAGACGAATCTAAGGAATTGTGTTTCCCAGAGTAATTCCTTTTTTTCCCCAACAATGAATTCATTTGCTGATGAGACCTAAGCTCATTCTCCAAATAAATTAGAACAACTTTCAGGGAGGCACCAACATATACAGGTAATCCTTGACTTACGACCACAATTGAGCCCAAAATTTCTGTTGTTAAGCGAGACATTTGTTAAGTGAGGTTTGCCCCATTTGACTACCTTTCTTGCCACAGTTGTTAAGTGAATGGCTGTAATTGATCAGTTAGTACCACGGTTGTTAAGTGAATCTGGCTACCCCATTGATTTTGCTTGTCAGAAGGTCGCAAAAGGTGATAAACGTGGGCCCGGGATGCTGCAACCGTCATAAGTATGAATCAGTTGCCAAGCGTCTGAATTTTGATGACACGATCAGGGGGCTGCTACAAAGGTCATAAATGTGAAAAATGGTTATGAGTCACTTTTTTCAGTGCCGTTGTAACTTTGAACAGTCATTAACTGAACTGTTGTAAGTTGAGGACTACCTGTACTAGAACTTTTTTAAATGTAGAAAAAGAACTGCTGAACTACAAACAAATTTGTGGAATTAACTTCTTTTATAGGACTATACTTGGGAAAATCATGGATTCTCCCTTGTGAACAGACTGTATTCTGATATTGGGCACCTCCTGGATGAGAAATTTCGGATGGTCTACAACCTCACCTACAACACCATGGCCAGCCACGAAGATGTTGACACCACAATGTTAAGAAGAGCTTTATTTAATTACGTTCACTGTATGTTTGGCATCAGGTATGTTATACACCACCTGGGATAATGGCTGTATTCAGCTGTTTCCCGACTTGCAGTAGTCACACTCTATAATCAGTGGATGTTATGCACTGTAGTTACTTTATGTTTGAAAAATTAAATATGATGCAATAGAGGAGAGATAAATATTACCCTCTTGAGTGAGAGAACCTCAGTATGTGTTAACCTGTATTCCCCCTGAGTACAACCAGATAGAAATGCATTAATGAGTATGCATTTTTAATTAATGAACAGAAATAAACACAGTCAAAAGTAATATGATGGCATCCGCTCTAGGTTAATAATCAGTCACTATTTGTTTGTTTTTCCCCAAGAACTGAAGAAATGCTGTAGGATCAGCAGATATTGTTTTTTCCATTTAGGGGCAAAGTAAATATGATGTTAAGTATGCCTTGTTATTTAATACAGGCAGTTCTTATTCAAGCTAGTACATTTCTAACTGTATCAACTCAATGTAAACATCATTATTACATTTATCAATATATATTTTAATTTATGCATATCTTAATCAGTCTTCATAAAACACCCCATATCCTATTATAAATTTTTACCTACTTTTTAGTTTTTCATCAATATTCCAATTAACCTTTAATATCCATAATTTTCAAGCTTTGGGTAACCAAAGCTTCCCTTATCTCATTTCATAACAAACTATAAATATCCAAAATCCACATTTTACGTATTTAAATTGAATATGGAACAGTAAATGTTAAGGGAAAAAGAGAAGAAATAGTTAATGATGTAACCCAAGATTTGTACTAAAGATTTTGTTATTGAATTATTGATTAACCCCGCCACCACATTGCTTTTTAAATACTCAAATGTAAAATTGGAAAAGCAATAAAACATTATATATATATATATATATATATATATATATATATATATATATATATATATATATATATACAGGCAGTTCTTATTAAGTAACTTTTCCACATTTCACGACCTTTCTTGCCCCAGTTGTTAAACGAATCACTGCCATTGTTAAGTAACACAGTCGCACAAGATGATCACATGACCCCGGGACTCTGCAACTGTCGTAAATATGAGCCCGTGGCCCAGTCCCTGGATTTTGATCACATGACACCCCCCTTGCAATGGTCGTAAGTGTAAAAAAGGGTCATAAGTCACTTTTTTCGGTAACGTCACTCCGAATGGTCACTAAATGAATGGTTGTAAGTCGAGGACTACCCGTATTCTTTTAACATTTAACCTTAGTTTTCCTTCCCTGCTGAAGTCCTAATGAAAATTTCTAAAAATGCTGCAATTTGGGGACCAAATAATTGGAAGAAATCTCACTTCATTGTTTCCGTTAGGTAGTTAACTCAGTGAGATGTCAGGACGTTCCAGTACCTGGACTTGACCAAGTGCAAAACATCAAGAGGCGTTTTCAAAACGCAAATAATAATTCAAAAAAACTGTTAATAATCTTAAAACTACTTCATACCAGTTTAATGAAATAGATTCAGGAAACCCAGATTGTACTAGATCAGGGGGAGGCAACCTTGGATCTTTTATGACTCGTGGACTTCAACTCCCAGAATTCCTGAGCCAGCATGGCTCAGCTTGGAAACCTCTCTCTTTCCCCTCAGCATGGCTGGCTCAGGAATTCTGGGAGTTGAAGTCTACGAGTCATAAAAGAGCCAAGGTTGCCTACCCCTGCTCTAATATAATGCCTCTTCTTATGTTTTCTAGTGAAAAGGCTAAGTTAAACCAGAAAATGACCTAAACAGCTTTGACTCAAGACATGTGAAAGGCATAGATATACCTTCTGGAAAAGCATTTGTTTAGTGGAATGCAAGATAGGTGAGATTAGACCTTTCTTGGATAATAATTACTTAGGTGGGTGAAGAGACTCTGCTTAGCTTTGCTGTGCTTTTAAATATAGGGCGGAAGGTTTGAACTACTTTATTTAAAAAAAAAACAAATTGATTTCATTTATGTAATTTTTAAAATGTGTCTTTTAGTTTTCTTTTGTTTTCTAGTTTTTTGGGCAACCTTAGCAGGCATAACAGAAAAATCAAAATATATTGGTAAATGATCAAAATTTAAATAATCAAAATGGGTCAGCTAGTTTATTTATTTATTTATTTATTTATTTATTTATTTATTTATTTATGAGACTTATATACCACTTTAAGTGCAAGCACTCTCTAAGCGGTGTACACCAGTAAGCAATGTATATATATATTTACATTGCCCCCAATCTGGGTCCTCATTTTACCTACCTCGGAAGGATGGAAGGCTGAGTCAACCTTGAGCCGTTGAGATTTGAACAGCTGACCTGCTGAACACAGTCAGCTAAAGTGGCCTGCAGTACTGCACTCTAACTGCTGCGCCACCCAATAAGTTGGCCCTTATTCTTTCATACTCAGAAGAACAATTGTCCATGGTGAATGAAACTCTCTTGGCCTATTCAGGATTGTTCAGCAACTTACATTCCTGGGTCAGGCATCGCCCAGTATCCAACCCGACTTTATTAAGTGGTTGTTCATTGCACAATGAAGGGAGCCCCAAAAAGTCACATTAAAAAATTGCAAGGCTCCAGGTGATGGCCACCCTGATTTTTTTGGACACCTCCTGTGGATTTCTTCGATTGAGGCTAAGCACTTATAACGGGTGTCAAACTCGCAACGTCATGTGACCTGTCACAACGTATCGTGACTTCTTTTCCATTGCCGGCAATGGGGTGGGCGCGGTTTCACTATGATGCATCCAGCCCGCGGGCCGGCAGTTTGACACCCCTGACTTATAACATGTATTTTGAATGTAAGATGAGAGAAGGACTATTTTTCTCTTCTTTGCTTACTAAATTTTTTTCTGATCTGTATGAATTCTGGAGCATAGTTTATTCAGGGACATTCCTATACACACACACATACGGTGCAAAATACAATCATTTTATGTTTGCAATATCTCTTCAACCCCACTTCTGCAGTATTCTTTACAAAACTTTTCAGATGGATGACCATTACTGAACTGTGGGTGAAATTTTGCTAACTAAATGACCCGAGGTTCTTGTGAATCAGATTCCACAAAAATCTTAAAAATGATTTCCATGAAACAAATTCTTCTAAGAGGTTTCAACTCACAACTGAAATTGTGAATTCAACTCCGAATGATATTCTCTCCATCTTAGTAAATACGCTAGGTGAATTTGGTCCTAAGATTTTTTAATGAAAATTGGCTCTTTTCAGATGCATTTCAGGTTAAAGTCTGACAAAGCTAACTGAACTACATCATATTGAAATGGTAAGGTTTACAATCAAGCATTTTTATCCCTGCCCCCCCCAAAAGGAAAGGAATTGCTTTTTAAAAATATCACATGCTCAGCAAAGCTTTTTCTCATTTAGATATGATGACTATGATTATGGGGAAGTTAATCAACTACTTGAACGGAACCTGAAGATTTACATTAAGACAGTGGCCTGCTACCCAGAGAGAACTACCAAGCGCATGTACGACAGCTACTGGCGCCAGTTCAAGCACTCAGAAAAGGTGAGTCCCTCAAACACATTAGCACATGTCCTTTTTAATACCTAACCTGGGAAATTGCATTTCTGCAGAAGCGAATTGTCACATCCATACACTAAGTACACCTTTCCATTGCATTAATATTCTGCACAATGACGCGAGTGAAACCTTGGAATGATCACCCTTCTTCAAAACCGGTGGGTGGAATGGTCTACATTTAAAAGAAAGGAGATGGGATGGAAATTCTGCTTTAAGGCAGTGGCAGATGACAAGGATTCTGTAACATCTGGCTCTGAAGTAACTCTGGGACAGTTTCTTCTCACGTTTAACATTCCAGGTCATGCTGCAAGTGATGAGAACTGAGCGGGCACTCCTGAACTTCCTATATATTTGTAAAATTTATCTAGGCACCTGAAACCATCTAGATCAGATATGTCAAACACAAGGCCCAGGGGCCAGATGCAGCCCACAAAGTGGTTTCATGTGGCCCACGAAGCCATCCTGGAAACAGTGAGGGAACGGCCCCAATGCCTTGGCCCTGGCCCAGGCCGGCCGGGAGCCAATGTACAATTTTGTGGTGGCCATCTATGGCTCCTCCAGTGGACCATGCCTTGGCACTTGCCCTGGTCCCACCCCCTTCTGCCAGAGACCCTCAGATCTGTCCCACTCCTGCCCAGGCCCCCATAGGCACCCTTGATGCGAACGATGTAGAGCCGACCATACCCACCCAGTAGGCCACACCCACTCCATCCACGCCTACCCAGTAGGCCGCACCTACCCTGGCCACACCCACCCGCCCCCCTGAGGGCAACCACAATGCTGATACGGCCCTCAATGAAATTGAGTTTGACACCCCTGATCTAGATTCTAGGCAGCTTATAGAAATTAAGCATTAAAAACATGAGAGCAATAAAAAAAATAATTATGGCTAGAATGAAACATTCTAAAACTGAGATGTGGTATTATAATTGTCCCTCAAAGGCCTCCCCAAAGAGACCCGTGTTTTCACTAGCTCCTGGAAGGCCATGAGTGCGGAGGAGGGCACAGGCTCTTCAGGATTCGAGAGGAGGGGGCTGTCACAGACAGTGCTTACCAACAGATCTCCTGGTAGCTAGGGACACTCAGCAGGTGCTCCTTCATTTTCTGGGGAAGACAGGTGGAAAGTGTTCGGGAAAGGCTATTTCTAAGACACTGAAGCTCTGAGGCAGGTTGAGGCCTTCTAAGTCACGTCCCACACCTTATTATAGTCACAACCAGCATCTTGAATTGCACACAGAAACCTATTGGTACCCAAAGTATGAAGTGGTGTTATTTAGACCAATCATTAAAGGTGTAATGTGGCTGCACTGGGACCAACCACTACGTCAGGGGTAGGCAACCTTGGCTCTTTTATGACTCGTGGACTTCAACTCCCAGAATTCCTGAGCCAGCCATGCTGAGGGGAAAGGGAGAGGTTTCCAAGCTGAGCCATGCTGGCTCAGGAATTCTGGGAGTTGAAGTCCACGAGTCATAAAAGAGCCAAGGTTGCCTATCCCTGCACTAAGTCGACAGGCTGCTGCATTCTGGACCCTCTGAAGTTTCCAGATGGTCTTCAATGGCAGCTCCAGGTAGAATGGGTTACAGTAATCTCATTCCTTTAAACCTCACTACCCCACCTCTTGAAAGATCAAGCCGCTCTTTGAAAAAAGTTCTTAACACTATGAACAGCTCTCTCTATCTGTGTATTAACAATTTGTTTGTCTCAGAAGTGCTTTTTCAAAAGGCAACTGGGCTGTTCTTTTGAGGAAGAAGTTTTGCTTCCCATTCAGGAAGCTTTATCAGTTGTGGTGAGGTGTCTGTGTGTGGAAATGGAAGTCTTCTTTACACACACCCCCCACCGTCCCAACTGATGAAGCTTCTTGGATGAGAAGTGAAACCACCTCCTCCTCCTCCTCCTCCTCCTCCTCCTCCTCCTCCTCCTCCTCTTCTTCTTCTTCTTCTTCTTCTTCTTCTTCTTCTTCTTCTTCTTCTTCTTCTTCTTCTTCTTCTTCTTCTTCTTCTTCTTCTTCTTCTTCTTCTTCTTCTTCTTCTTCTTCTTCTTCTTCTTATTCTTCTTCTTCTTCTTCTTCTTCTTCTTCTTCTTCTTCTTCTTCTTCTTCTTCTTCTTCTTCTTCTTCTTCTTCTTCTTCTTCTTCTTCTTCTTCTTCTTCTTCTTCTTCTTCTTCTTCTTCTTCTTCTTCTTCCTCGAAAAACCAAAACCAGTCCTGTGCCAAACCGGATTGTAGTCAGCTAGAACTGTGTTAAGAGTATTTAGCATTTACAGGGTTAATGTTGTATCATTGAGAGAACTGTATGTAAGAACATGTAGCATTTAAAGGGTTAAATGCCGTTTCCTTAAGAGATTACTTCTGGGTAATGTAGTTCAGTTAGTTAATCCTATAGCTTATCTAGACAGTGGAGGAGTTAAAAAGTTTATCACACGATGTCCGGGCTAAGTGTAAGGGTTGTAAAATCCCTTTGTGAAACCAAGCATGTGCACGCATGGATGGCATCTGTAACTATGCTCAGTTGATATGGAGAATTAGCACTTTTTTACCTACGAAAAATGGACAGATATACAAAGACCAGACACATCTACAGCATAGTAAATCTCTGCTTAGCATTCCTGGACAATAAATATTTGTTTAAAACCATTTTTGTTGAGTTTATGCTATTTGGACCAAAACTACAAGGCATCTTAGTTTAGGTTCCAGAATAAGTCCAGTTGCCTTTTGAAAAAGCACCTTTCAGACAGCTATGGCCTGGATGACTGAGAATCTCCACAGGCATTCACCAGTTTGTTTCAATCCTCCCTTAGGTCCACGTGAATCTTCTTCTGATGGAGGCTCGCATGCAGGCTGAACTGCTCTACGCCTTTCGTGCCATCACCCGTCACTTGACCTGATGGGCCCAGTGCAGTCGTATGAGCGAAGCTTCCAAATAAGACGAGCAGTAAACTGCTGCCCTATTGGGTGGCATCAGGCCTATTGGATTCCGAGGTTGGAAAGCTGAAGCTGTATACTGTATCTGGCAGCTGTTACCGTGCAATCATCCCTCGCTTTTTTCTCTGTCTATCTATTTCTTGATGCTTAATTTTACTAGCGATAGCAAACATAACACTGTGGAATGCTTCTCCTGAAGTGGCTCCCCATCAAAGTATTGCTCACAAACCCTAACCCGGTTTGCTATCTCTGGTTCTTTGCTGTGTTCCCCCCCCCCCCTTGAGCTCAGAATTTAAAGGCTATCTTTTGAGGTTCCGATTATCGCATTCGGTCTCTCCTGTAGACAGTATCGTGCACGGGATTGTCTGTCTCTTCTCTTTCTTTCCTTTAGCTCTTTCTGGAATATTAACATGCCATTTTCCTTAATGCAGTGTATGCTATGTTTTAAGCTGAATTGCTCAGTTAGCTTGTTCTTACATAACTCCAAGAAATGTAATTCTTCAGCAGTAGTTTGGAGGTCATGTGGAATGAATGCAACTATTGTGTCTGGCTTTTTTTTTTTTTTAATGAAAAATGTGAAAGCAACTGCTGCAAACCCCGCGGCGTGCTACTGACACACAGCATTGGAAAAACTGTTTCCTGAATGCAGTGGTTCTCCCCCTATCCATTTCAACTGTACAGGTTCAGGGATTGCCTTATCCTCTTTGGCCTATGAATGTGTCACTTTCTGCCTCTCCCAGTGCACAGAGGTTCTTGGCAACCCAAGTCAGCAACTCAGTTTTAACTTGGCATATGGGGGTTTTATTTTATTTTTACCAAGTCACATCGTATAACTTTTAACACGGATCAGGCAGCCGTGCGCTGTGTGCAAGTTCAACACACATTGCCTGATCCAAAGGGGGGGAGGGAAATCTGTGCAAATAGATTGGTAGCTTTAGGAAAATTTGGGTTTGTGCTAACTCGTATCACCGGGGAATGGTGACCTGTCCTATTTTTGCTCTTCAGCTTCTCCAACCTTGTGCATCGAAGCAAGGATTCTCTTGCTGATCTGTAGCTGCTTCTCTGAAGGTTTTATATTGGGTGATATCATTGTTCCACCTTGCCCATTATTATGAGTTCTGGCTGGCAGTTGTTCTCAGGCAAGCCTCCTTAATTCCCTTGTAACTTGAGATCCTTTTGCTTGAGATGCCACTGACCCCCTTCCACAAGCAGAGAAAGTGCTTTCCCGTGAAGTTACATCTTCTTCCATTGCTGTTTCTTTTTTTAAAAAAAATATATAGAATAGTAATTACAGTGGTGTTAATTCAGTCTTTAAGAAATTTGATTCCTCTTGTGTTCCCCTGAGTGATAGTATCAGAGCAGGTTTTATATATATATATATATATATAATCTATATTTTAAAGCTATGAATCATGTTTCTGTGTGTTGTCATGAGTGAACAAAGGAAGTGCAATATTTGAGCAAAAAGACAAGTTTTTTTCCCCTCACAAATTTCTTGCTGAAAAGTCCTGTTCAGAATGGCTGGGGAACAGCTGTTTGTTCTTTCCCAAACATTGTTCCGAACCTCGGCTTGCTTGCCTTGAGCAATCAGCTACTCCCACATTGCCAAAGCATCTATTAAACAAAATTGGGGTGGAGCACAGATCCCTATACGTTTCCGCGAAGCCTCAATTCCTTCCAAACGGAGATGCCAGGTTGAGTTTCCCAAGAAATGACTGGCAAATGTGCCACAGTCACTTTGAATAGGTGGTAACCATTGATGGCTGGCCTTTTTGAGGAAAATATGTGAATTGCCAAAAAAAACCCACAAAAAAGATCCCTTCTCCGTGGTGCTTGAGCACACTCTTGCAGTTTTAGAGCACAAGATCTCAGTGTTTTTAATAGCTTTAAGTGTGTTATGTTGCATTTCAGCAAAGTGCCTGAATTCTGAACACTGACCCACTGAAACAGTGACTTTTCAGTGATGGGCTTATTCCAGGGAACACGAGTCATAACTAAGTCCCATTGAAATCTAAGCTGCTTTGGCCCAGTTGTGACTGTCTTGTCAGAATTGACAGCTTGCCCACTGCCTTTGAGTGGATTTAATCTACCAATAAATCTAAGCACTGACCAACATTTTGGCAACAAGAGCTGGACCTGTTTTGATGTAGACTCTTCCCTCACCCACCCACCTACCTACCTACCCCTTTCCTGGCTTAAAACTGACTCCAGTTTGTTTTTCTGTGCTTTGGAAATGAACGAAATGGGTTTTCTAAATGAGCTGTAGAAAACAAAATAGAATCATTCAAAAACAAAAAGTGAAGGATTTTCACAATGGCTTGTTTTATAAGAGTGATTTTGAAAGTCTTTCCGTAAAAGAGAGCAGACCAAGGGTATTTTGTTGAGCTTTTCAAAACTTACTGACCATCCTTTGTGACAGGATGTCGTTCTCCCACCCCTCTCCCTCCATTCAGAGGTTGAAATGATTGTGTTCGCTTCCCTGCACAGAGTTTTCCTCTGTATGTTGAACTGTAAGCTATTTTTGATATCCGCATTCTCTGAGGATACATATACTATACACTACAGATTTCTATCAGCTGCATCAGTTGCACAGTTGTAGCTTCTCTTCAAGAAATCTAGAAATTAAATTGTAAAAAACAATTTTTTAGAAAAAAAATAGTATTCCCCTTCCACCCAAAAGATTATCTCCCTCCTGCTGTTATACTTTCTGCAGTTCCGCCTCACGGGGAGACATTCAGTTGAATGGAGACAGCTGTTAAAGAATGGGGACTGGTGCAGGCACTAACCACACATCAACCTAATCTAAGTTAGCTACTGCTTGACAAACTTCCAGTCCTCCTTCCTTGCAGGTGCAGATAGCACGGGAATTCCACAGGCAAAGGGAGAGGTCTGCCAATTGTTTTGCTGTGGCAGAACGTGGGCACCTGTTCTTCGCTCAGCATTGGATTGCTGTGTCCAGAATCACCTGTGCAAGAATTGACTACCCTTAGGAGGGTCAGTAGCAGTTTTAGCTTTGAGTGGACTCTGGCTTTGAACTAGAGTCATGATGAAGGTGGAGAAAAAGCTGGTGAAGACTGGTCTTCCATCACAGAGTGACAGACCAACTACTGGAGAGAAATGTCTTTCCTTATATCTGTCTCTCTCTTTGCTCTGTGTCCTCAATCGCATTCTCTCCTCTTTGTCACTAGATAAGAAGGGACCTCAAGAGGAACAGCAAGTGATGGAAGTTCAACCTTCCATCATTTGCCATTCCTCCTGAGATCCCTTCAAGCGGGTACTACTGTCCTACTGTTCTGTAGATAATCTGGTTTGTCTTAACAGGGATAGTTACAAACGTGATCCAGTTCGTGATTTATATTGTAAGAGCTTTATTTTTTTTCTTTCAGAGAGAGATTGCGTTTTTTTTTACCTTTTTAAAAGAAACGAGTGTTCTAAATTCAGAAGCAGTAATGTCTTTTTCTTCTAAACGTTTCCTTTTATTATAACAAAAGATTCACCTCACCAAGAGACAGTCTTCACATTTCTAAGACCTTGTTTAGTTTTTCTTTTCTTTCTTAGTGAAGAATCTCAGTTCTGAATTCATTAGTGGAAACAAAATTTCACTTAGTACCTGATCTTCTTTTGGCATTGAAGGTTGGACTCTACTCTTTGAGAATTAGGAATTTTCCTTAGAAATAGAATGGCAAGTCTGAATGGCACAAAGAATTTCCAAGTATGATCTGGTGAGATTCAGCAGAGCAGTTAGATTTATCTACTTAAATAAGTTGGCATTGTGACATTTTTACATTGTGAATATTCAGAATAAACATCCATTTTTACTTTGCTTTTTATCTGATGTATTGCTTAACTTCATAAATGTGCCAAATTGTTAAGTGTGCAAGAAGAGAAGGGAGGAGAACAGCAAATGAGAAAGAATCAACTTTTAACAATTAAAATCTATCACAATTGTTTGTTGCATAGATGTAGTTTTCTGTTTTTTGTCTGCTGCTGTGGTTGTAGTCATCAGCAGCTGGCAGCCCATGGATCAAATTCTGTTCTGTTATCAGCCAAGGGGCAAACAAGACCTGCAAGTCAGAGTGTCAGCAGTAACATCACTCTAGAGAGGAGGGTTGGGGAACCTGGGGCCCTTCAGATGTTGCCAGACTACAGTTCCCAGTATTATGCATGACTGGCTACGTAGTTGGAGCTAGAAGTAACATCTGAACAACATCTGGAGATTGATGTTTCCTTCCATTGTGGTAGAGTTAAGTAGTCCAGTAAACTTCTCCAAGTGTAGGGAGGACAAAGGTTGGGGCTTTGGCTCCAGATAGGACATACTAAGGCCCTTAAGCATTTGTTCATATCTTCTGCTATATTCTTTGGGCAAAAAACCTAAATTGAATTATTTCATAACTTCTCTCCCACAGCTGCACTGAGTTTTTTTGCAGGAGTGGAAGAGATCAATTCACAATTACACTTGGCCAAGAGATACTATTTCAGTAAGTGGAGAGGATTAGAATTTGAATTTGCACATTTAGCTTATCTCTGCATCATTAAAAACACAGATTCTGCAACTTAAAGAAGATCTTCCAATGCCATACTTACATTAAAAATGGGCTTCGTGGGAATGCTCTAGTCCAGTGTTTCTCAACCTTGACAGTTTTAAGGCACGTGGACTTCAACTCCCAGAATTCCACAGCCAGCATTGCTGGCTGTGGAATTCTGGGAGTTGAAGTCCACATGCCTTAAAATTGTCAAGGTTGAGAAACACTGCTCTAGTCTTGGAATAACTGATACATCAGAGGAGATGCCAAGTTTCAAACTGAACGATTCAGGGCCCTGAATGTAGCCATGTAGATTTCCAGACCTCTTACTTATCTCTATTCCACGACTAGATTCCGTTTCAGCTTAGAAAGGGCTGGAGTGCAATTCTGGCTGTTCAAGGGCATCAGGCCCACTCTTTCCTCCTGCTGGCTGGGGAATTCTGGGAATTGAAGTCCACACATCTTAAATTTGCCAAGGTTGAAAAAAAGAGATTCTGGATTGAGGCCTTCAGAATCAAATAAGATTAAATAATAAATATTTCTTTAAACCAACCGACCACCGTTGGAACCGTTTAATTGGTAAACAATGAACAAATTTGCTCTGCAATTCCATTTGATTTTTCAACCTTTTTTTATAGAATGGGGGGGAGTCATTTTAATGTAATGTCGTATATGTGCTTTTTTTCTATATATATAAAGAGGCGAGTAGGCACATAAGCGCGGGAGAGGTTTAGATGGATAGGATTTTTGATTCGAGATCTTTTTTTTTCCCAAAAAAATGGGAATTTTTTAATCTCCATCCTTTGAACTGAAAAGGGGAATCCTGGGAATTCTTTGTTCTGCTATCTGTGAAAAATTCAAAGCAAAGTTCCAGTGCACACGAGCTTCTCTTAAGTGTTGTTGTTCAGGTGTGCTTTGAACATAAAAGGTGCAGCTTGCTTTAAAAGTGCACACATTATGGTAAGGAATTACTTACAGGATCAGATTTGTCCCTGCAAGAATTTTGTACAGAACTGTACAACAGATCTTCCACCTTGCCAGATCAGTGATGCATATATTTCCCTCTCGAAGAGAAGACATGGCAACTGTCAAGAGACTGTATGTCTGTGAAGATTCTCAATCATCTAGGTCAGGGGTTCTCAACCTTGGCAACTTTAAGACTTGTGGACTTCAACTCCTAGAATTCCTCAGCCAGCTTTGCTGGCTGAGGAATTCTAGGAGTTGAAGTCCACAAGTCTTAAAGTTGCCAAGGTTGAGAACCCCTGATCTAGGTCATTGTTGTCCCAAATAAGCTTTTTCTTAGTTTTTTCTTTGAAAGCGTTTCACTGAAGACGTTTCTTGGGTGAGAAGCGAAATGTTTCCAAAGGAAAAAACCCAAGAAAGTCCAGTTGCCTTTTGGAAAAAGCACCTTTGGGACAACTGTCAAAAGATGTTTCTGATCAGGTGGAGAAATCTGTATGTGGAAATAGTTCCTTTTTGGGCAAAAGCTACATAATTCTTAGTCTCGGTAAAAATTTCTTCTCTCTGAGGTTGTGCTTTGTTTTTAAATCCTTTCTGTATACATGCATGCTTCAGGGTGCTTTGAGATTAAAGTGATCAGTTCTTTGGGGAAATGGTGACTGGGGATGATGGTAGTTGAAGCCCAACATGACCAGAAGGGTGTCAGAGAAAGAAAGGTTGACTCAACCTTTTTGCAGTGTACGCTGCCTCAGAGTGCATGAACTTGAGTGAAGAGGGAGAAATTGATATTATAAAATATCTTAAGGCTTCCTGACTAAATCATTCAGGAAAGGTCAGCGTAGAAAAAAGATGGTTGCTAGATCTAGATTGCCTTTGATATTATGTACTTCTGTGCCTACTTCGGCAGCCTCCAAATAAAGCTCCCTTTCTCCCCAAGGGAGAAAGCAAGGGGTTATGATTTGAGGCTCAGGCTTGCTCAAAATTTTAACTAGGGAACACTCAAAGTTTAGATTCCTATGAAACAGAACTTCAAAAATATTTTATTTCTTTGTAGACTGATTGGCACCGCAGAGAGCAACATATGAGTCTATATATAATATAGATGGACACTGGTTGATCTCCTGAATCATTCAGTTAGCAAGCCCTAAAAAAAAAAATCAGCAATTTCTCCTTCTTCTTTCAAGTTCACCATGCATGACTCCTGAACAAGCAGCCTGAATATGTATAGCATTTGGAATGGCGCTCTGTTCTAAACCTGGCTTGTATCAAGTTGTGGTTGGATGAAGACCTGAGGCAAGTGGTCAGCCATACAAGGGGAGCGAGGTTCACCGAAGCACTCTCTACTTCTCCCACCGCAGCTTCTCCTCCAGAAGCCCTGGATCTTTCCAATTTACTTAAAAGGCAAAGAAGCAAATTGAGTGTTCAGCTATATACATAAATTCTGCTGAATTGTTCACTCATGAAAAGATAGAAATGATCAAGAAGGATCCATCAGAAAGTCCTCACGCTCCTCGGTACCACATCCCCTAATGGCCTTATTACAATCCCAGTGGATGTGGGCCCAATTAAAATATACCTCCAAAATTTATCAAAATAAGCAGGTCATCACAATCTGGACTTTTCCCAGACTTCCACTCTCCAAATGTAGGGAGACCACACTTCCAAGCCTGTCTAGAGTGTGGAAGGCTGGTAGAGTCCTTGTTATCTGAGACTAAAACAAAATGGTGCCTGAATGTATGCTGAGTGGCCCAGTCAACAGGCTCTGAGACTGAAGTTGCATCTATAAACATCGAGTTGCACTTGGTGAATACTCAAAAAAAAAAAAATGAAATCACTTTTTTCCAATGGGCTTTTTGGGGAAACATGTCTTTTCCTCCCATTAAATGTAGTGTATTTCTAGAAGCTGTGATAGGCCTTTATGGTCCTTGACTTTGTTACTGTAACTTTTTTTTTTCTTCACAATTTGTGAAATGTAGAATTGCAGCCAGAAGTGAGGTGGGATTATGTCCACCTTCAGTTGTGTACTGTGTTATGGCTGTACGTAGATTAAGCTAATATTATTTAGAATTTCCACGGCTGTATTATGTATGTGTATATGGGTTGTGTTTGTGTGTGTTCTGGTTCGTGGGGAGAGAATGAAGATATGTCTGTGGGTTTAAGCTTTTTAGGGTTTGGTGTCTGGCTTTTTTTATAAGTGACTCAATAACCCGTAACCATTTAAACTGTCCTTTCCTATTAATTTGAGATCATGTGTTTAGTATGGGTAATGTGAAATTATGTATTTGGAAGAGACAAAATCATTTGTACTGTTCTAAACCTGTGGGAATGGTTGGTTAGCAATATAAGAATCCAGATAAGATATTTCACATAGGAATGCCTCTTCATGCTTGTTCAAAAATGTGTTGGGAAAATGCAGAATTGATACCTAACACTTAAGAGAAACCACAACACAGGGCAGAATATGTGGAAGAATGAAGTATATAGTCAATTTCCCTTTTCACCTGCTGTCCAAAGTTTATCTCCAAGAAGATTTGTCGGACACGTGGGAAGAGGAGCTTTGTGTATTTTCAGTTTTCCCTGGAGCCAGAAGTAAGGACATAGACAAAAATCAAAATACATCTTTGATTGGCTACAAGGATGCTTCAATAAGAGTATCCTCTGAGTGACCCATATTTGGCCCACTAGTTGCTTGCAACTGACCAACAGGCTTTTCCACCAATAATTTAATGCTAGTAAAGAGGGTGAGATTGGGAGGAAAGGATTTTTATTGTGTTAATGTGATCTTGGATAACTTTGATTCTGTTACCTCAGGACATGTTTGAAGTTATTTCAGAGCAACAAAAAGTTGACAGGGGTGTCCCTTTCCTACACTCCAAAATACAAGTATCACAGGAATAACTGGAGCACTTGTGGGCTTTAGATTACCCTTAATAACACCAGCAAAATGAAAATAGCGACATAGACCCATTCTTTTTGAAAACGTGCAGATTTAAGATCTAACCAAGACTTTAGTTTTAAAGTTTTCTAATCAAGATGCATATTGGACGAGCCAATCTTACTGGATCTATCTGTGTGACTTACATTTTTTTCTGCCTTTCTTGGTTTAAGCTTTTAGTTACTCATCTTGAAATTGTATTTGAGCAGATCCAGAAAAAAAAATTTAGTGAGCTGAAATGAAACATATTTTTCAATAAAGTAATATGTGTGTGCATATTAACCTGTTAACAAGCAATTCATAAAATCTGCACTTTTTATGAGGTTTTCAAGAAAAAAATCTATTTATAGGTACGGAAGAATGGGGTTTGTTTAAACTGTATAGCATTTATACTTGCTGAAATCTCTTTCATTGTTATCAGCAGGAATTTTACTGGTTCAATAAAACTGGCAAAAAAAAAACCCCACCTGTTGTCCTGTTTCTTATTTTCAGTTCAATGAATGGCACCATCTCTTTTATTGTGTATTTTACCTGAAAAGCAAAGTATCCAGTGATGGCAAAAGCTACAGTGTCAAGCAGTTCAAGATAGGCCAAAAAAAATTATTGTTATCAACTAATATTGGGTTGAGCCACTGTTTATTGAATTAAGTCCCCAGTGGCTGGCTTCACAGAATAACCTCAGCCTCTGAAAACAACCTGCTTTTTGGTTTAGTGCAGGGGTGTCAAACTCAATTTCATTGAGGGCCGCATCAGCATTGCGGTTGCCCTCGGGGGAGTGTGGCCAGGGGGGGTGCGGCCTACTGGGTGGGCGTGGATGGAGTGGGAGTGGCCTACTGTGTGGGCGTGGCCAGCTCTACATCATTCGCATCAAGGGTGCCTGTGGAGGCCTGGGCACAAGTGGGACAGATCTGAGGGTCTCTGGCAGAAAAGGGGGTGGGACCGGGGCAAGTGCCAAGGCATGGTCCATTTCCTCATTCCTCACAAAGGGTGACACTTCCCCAGCATGCATCCAGGGGGCGGGGCCGACACGGCAGGGCCTGGTTCCTCGCTGTTTCCAGACGGCCTTGTGGAGCTAAGACTGAATGTGTTTCAGCATAGATGGCCACCAGAAAATTGTATATTGGCTCCCAGCTGGCCTGGGCCAGGGTCAAGGCAGCGGGGACCATTCCCTCACTGTTTCCAGGATGGCTTCGCAACACATGAAACCACTTCATGGGCCGCATCCGGCCCCCGGGCCTTGTGTTTGACATGTCTGGTTTAGTGGGATGTTTGATCTAATGGTTAAAATATCAGGCTAGAAAGCCAGGAGATTGTGAATTCTACTCTCACTTTAGACATGAAAGCCAGCTGGCTGAGTCACTCTCTGAGCCAACAACTGGGTTGCTGTAGGGAAAACAGAAAGCAGAAGGAGGTATACTTGCCACCTTTAGTTACTTATAAAAATAATAAAAGCAGAGGGGTCCTTGGTGGTCTCTGAGCTTGGTTGTTTTCTTGCAGACGATTCATTACTCAAACTAGGTAACATCATCAGCACTGATGGTGTTACCTAGTTTGGCTAACGAAATGTTTGCAAGAAAACAACCAAGCACCCCCTCATTTCAACCCCGAGCTACAAATATTCTCCTTTATTAATAAAAGCAGAATATAAACTAAATGTTAAACATCAGTCTAAGATGATTGGCAGCCATTTATCATGATGGTTGCCTATTACTTGTAAGATCAGCACAAGCTTGTGTTTGAATATTTGTTTCAACCAACATCAAAAAAGGTGGTTCTTGATTGCTTCTTCAGAACTTCTTGGGAAGACCTGTTGACCACTTGGAGAAATAGGATCTGCTCAGGAGACCAGCAGGATTATTTATGCCAATTTCTGATTCACAGAGTCTAACATGCCTTCTCCAAAGCAAGAATGAATTCTATACCTTTCATAACATCTCGACATTCCTCGACCTTTGTGGATCAGAAGTGCAGTGTCTATCAGGATGGTGATACAGTGTGCCTTTAAATTGGCCTAAGTTGGAAAAACATCCCAGATGATGTCAGTGGTAAACCAATTTTATATACATTATTGCCCAAAGAACCAGATGGCATACCCCAGTTTGCAAAAGTGAGCAGTCACACATATTACTGTACAACCCAGAATTCATTACTTCACGGTACATGCTGCTGTAACTTTTTTTTTAAGCTGTCCTACACACACCCCCATGATTATCCAATCAAATTACATGATTCAACCATCAATTCTGACAAGGTAGCTGAAGCTATCTGAGTGGGTTCACACGCACCCATGATTATCCAATCAAATTATATCAGT